CAGACAAAACAGTATTCTCTTGGTATGTTCATTTATGCAGTGAATGTCAAAGAACCATCTACTGCAGGCAATGCCTTCAGGTACAGTCACATCTCCATTCTGCTTGGACATTGAGATCAGGGGTGTACAGCTTGTTCTTAAGCACACTTATAGCCCAGTGCCATGCACAATTTGTCCCAAGTGTCAGTGTGCTCAATGAGGTTTGCTCCCTGGTATCTGCAGAGGACCACAGCCCAAACTTGAAAGTAAGTTCCCCTGAAACAAACAGGAGTTATTTCCACATGTATCTACCATCACAGTGAAAGTGACTCATATCATCTTGTTCTTCCTACTAACTCCCACATATCAGAAAGATGTTAATTTAGTCCCAGTAGCATTTCTCTCATTATCATCTGTAATTCTATATTTGAACACTTCAAAATACACACACACACATCTACAGAAGCTACATATGACAAAACTGCCCCCATTCTGTCTTTCTATAACTGGTAATAGTTTTAAAATCTGCAGACAGGGTAGGCTGGTGGAACCAAAATATTCAGAACCGGGGGGGAAAAGCATATGCAATTTCACTAATAGCACTATCAGATGACCCTATTTTAGAGTACCTCCTTGCTTCGCAGGAAACATGATGATACTTCTTATTTTAGAATATGCCACTTACTACTTTACAGAATAAAATCTTCAGCTCTAGATTGCCCCTAATTTTTAAATTATACTTTCCCTTGCTTTGGAGGAATAATTACCATTCACTAAGTCATAGCATTTCTCAGTGTGCATACAATGTATGGAGTCCATTTCATTACCTAGTTAGATTTGCAGCAACTCCTAATAAGATGACGAAATATGGTAAAATTCTCCTCTTGTCAAAAACAAGTGGATATTTAAGTATATTTAGTAATATTCATCCATACACAACCTCAGTTTATAAATATTTAGGATTACTGATAGCACATTCCAGAAGTATTGGATTATAGCTCTCATCACCCCCAACTCTCCTCCATGCTTTCTTAAATGATGAGAGTTGATAACACAATACATCCAAAGAGTACCAGAGTAGGGAAGCCAGTGTTTGGTCATGTGCAAGAAACAACTCACTTATGGTGGCAGGAAAAAAATCCTCTGGCAGCAGGCGAAGACCTACTGCTTATGTTTTTAAATGTGTTGTTGAACTTTATTTGTTTGATCCTTTTGTATTTGTATACTGACTGTTCTTAATGTTAAATACTGTATTTTAGTGATGTAAGCTGCCTTGGGTCCTTTTTAAGGAGAAAAATGGGGTATAAATATATTAAATAAATACAAGTAAAAAATAATACTGCTGCACCAGGCAAATCTAAGCAGTATTCTATGCAATATTTAGGGTAAGGTGGGACTTTTGCACTAGACACCTGTGTTTTTCACAGCTATGTTTCTGCTCACATGCATGCTCTTGTAACATTAATCATCCCAGCAAGATGGACAGGACTGCATTTAATATTGAAACTCCATTGTCCTGCTCAGTGAGACACTGAACAGTACACTTGCCATTTCAAAAGCTGCTGTATCAGTTGTACATTCTGAGAATTTTCTGCACTGTTGAACACCAAACTTACACCACTGCTAGGAATTTTTAAAAATCCTTATACCTAAACTTACACTCATTTTCCCCCCTAACAAACCAGACCACTGGAGTGACTTAAATTTAAACATTGACATTACTAACTGGGCTGCTGGACAAAAAGTATGCTGGTGCAGTTTGATTTTCTGAAAAGTGGAGTATATCAGTGGAGTATATCAGTGGAAGCATCTTCAGAGCAACCCCAGGATGTGCTGCATGGAATGAAAATCAAAACGGAAACTGGAAGTGTCTTCTTACTAATTTATGTTCAGAGCACATTCCTATATGAAAAACAAGCAAATCTTGCATCCCTATCATAATACACTTCTTTAAAACTCACTTCCAAAGAAGGATATTAGGAAGGAAAATTCTCCCATACACTAACCTCTTAGTACATAGCCAGCTATTGAATACTGAAATACTGTACTTAAGTAATGACAAAGAAACACTGTAAGCTCTTTGGAGCAGTAACCCTGTCCTCTTCTACTTTGAGAAGTACCATTCATGCTGGTGACATTAGACAATTAATGAAAAGCCTGGTCACAATATGACTTCCCTCCTTGTCATGTAAGCATGTTTGCTTTAAATGAATTTAATGCTGCAAAAGAACAGATTAGGTCTTAGCTCCACTTTACAGCTGACAAAATTACTTCAATGAAAACTCCACCATTATGTGTATACTGTACTTGGAGAGTTTGGGTGGTAACTTAAGGCTACCACTTTTAGGTATGATAAAAAGTTGCTGTTATCCCACCCACCATATCAGGTCTCTAAACACTGGGATGTCAGTTTGAGAGGCAGTGCTGAGCTATATTCTAACTGAACATTTGTTTACACAAACACACTTGAATTCAGACTCTGCCATCACAAAAAATAAATAAATAAAATGAGCCACATTCATCTAAAAATCATGTGAATTTGACCATACAGATCTTCCATTGATAGCTCATAAAAGTCTACTTTATACATGCTATCCCTCCTCACCCAAAGTATACTTCTATTGTGTTGATCCCTCAACGGCTGGGATCTAAAGCTGTATTCAAACTGCACTCAGGGCCCTGCAAGAATACAATGTTGTTGAGACTGGTTTTGCTTTAAATTTTCTTTTGTTATGAAAGCAGTTCCCAAATCCTCTCTTTCAGAAACTGTCTAACATGAGTTTTGAAGAGCGGCAGTATGAGAAACACAAATCCAAAGTCCTTTCGAGTACACCGCATTAGATCTGTATTTTCTTTGGATCCTGACCAACAGTTCACCTGAAGGTAGGTGCACATTAACATACTATGGGCGGGCAGCCAGTGTAGTGCATGCTGTTGTACATACCTAGGACTTTAGAGACCTGGTTTCAAATCCCCACTTGGCCATGGAGACTCATGGGGACGGGCGGCACTGGTAAAACCACTCCTTAATAATCTCACACACCTTGGAAACCTTGCTACGCAAGTAGGAACTGACTTGACAGGAGAAGGGGACGACAGAGGATGAGATGGTTGGACAGTGCCATCGAAGCTACCAGAATTTGACCCAACTCCGGGAGGCAGTGGAAGACAGGAGGGCCTGGCGTGTTATGATCCATGGGGTCACGAAGAGTCGGACAAGACTAAACGACTAAACAACAACAATATACAAACTTGCTGTGGATATGGAAACTCTAGCACGACTTAACGACTAAACAACAACAATATACACACTTGCTGTGGATATGGAAAGCCTAGCAACCTTTCTTAACATTGGCCCAGCAATCTGGCCATTGCAGATCTATGTGCTAATACTATCGACCTCAAGGACTTGCTTTTACCTACACAGTTCCACTGATCTATTCAGGGGAAGAAATATTTACAACTTACACCCAAAGTCTCCATGCACAGGTACTGACCCTAGAACCTATACCATAGCTTAAAGAATGCTATACAATACACACCTTTTTGTAATTTATTTCTGATGCAACATATTCTAACACCGTGCAATTCCCGCTTCTCCGTGATTAGGGCTTGGGTGGTAAATTCCTTCCAGGCTACCTCCGACCAGAAGAAGAACCACGGAGGACCTTTCTTTTTTTGCCACACACCTCATCCACAGGACCGGGGTTTCGTGCACAGACCCAACTAAGCACGTGCTCCTGTGGCTAAACTCCGAGTGACAGGCAGCCCCGACAAAACTGCTGAAGTGGGAAGGAAGATCGGGCGGTCCGGCGAAGAGGACCACAGAAAGCAAGAAGCCGCCGCCGCCAGTTCGGGTCCCACTCCCCGAAAATGAGCTGCTCTCCCTCCCCCACGACCCCAGAGCCTCCTAGCAGGCGTTTGGGAGGCGCGTCCGAGGGGGGGGACCTTGTGGCGAGACGCCTTTCGCCCCCCTCGACTTGGAAACCTTCCTCCTTCGCCTACTCTCCGAGTATCAGGAGGCCTCCGGAAAAAGTTTCCACGACCATCATGAACATGACATTTTAAATTAACGTTATGGTTTCTGAGGAGCAAGAAGAGGAGAGGGGGGGGTGAGGCGTGAGTGTTTAGAAAGCGGA